TAATTTTTAAATTTCTTCCCATCATTTTTAGATATATAAATAAAATTTTACTTCTAAAAAAGTATTAAAATTTTTTTTCCAATCATCCAACCTTTGATGACCTAATAACTACCCCTTAGATGAATGTAGTGAATATAATGATCTGAGTTCAAATCCCAAACCCTACTCCTCTTCTCCTGCACATTTCCCCTGTAAAAAAAAAAAAATTTTGTTTTCCAACCACCTTCAATTAATATCCATAGATGCCTCTTATTGACTTCGTCATTGACGTGCCTGCACTAGCAAGTTGTCTCTATTCCTTAGCTGCCTCATTAATTATAAGAAAGAGTTAGATTGGTTATCACGTGTCCACCATTTATAATTTCCTTTTCTTATCACGTGTCCACCATTTATAATTTCTTTTTCTATCAAGCACGCAGGTATGCCACCTACTTCTTCAATCTTGATATCCTCTTATGTTTTTTGTTGAGAGTTCACAATTGCATTTACATATATTCTACGTAGGTATAGCATGGACTAAACACATTTTGCGCTCAAAAGAAGGGGTCATCAGCCAAATCATTCTTGCTAAAGTTCGTCTGTGTTTAACAGCTAGTGGCAATGAGTTCCTGAACGTCATCTGACGAAGTTTGTAAGTGTGGTTAATTATATAATTTTGGTCCTATTGCTAGAGCGTCTTTTTAATTTATTTCTGAACCTCATATGGTACATGAAAAATCATACTTGGTGATCGAAGTTCCGGTTTGAGAAGGCAGGTGGTGCTTTTTTGTCTGTCTGTGTACGTGGGACACACATGATATGAAGGTGAGAGGCTTCTCTTCGGCCCCTTGCACGGCTGATTTTTCTTTCCTATTAGGTTTATGTTTTAGTGCTTATTAATTAGGTGATTTATGGGTTTTAGTTTTCATAAATTTTATGACTTTAAATAAAAAAAAATTTTAACGTTTTATTTTTCAATATATTATCATGACTCTTAAATCCCTTCTCTCCTCTTCTTTTCTATCATTTGGATAAGTTAAAATAATTAAAAGAATTAAAAGTAAAAATTAAAGTAAAGGCTTTTGTCTGCTTTCCATTCTCTAATTTTTTGGTAACAAAATCAATTATTTGTTTCTTGTCTGATCAAATCTAATATACCCTTAGTTGTTAATGTTAAAACTCATCTTAAATGAAATTTAATTGCATATCTTTCAAAAGTTTGAGAACTATATTGTAATAAAATTGTTAAAATTAGTGACTGATTGATTAAATTTGAAGTTTGAGGTTCAAAGCGCATAAGAATTGAAAGTTAAATGACAATCTGTTGCATTTTACCGTTAAAATTTGGAGAGTTCTAATGGGTCGATAAACGGCGTTACGATGTCCCATCAATAGAGGGCTGCTGCTTGGTCCTTTCTTCAAAGTTTAGGGTATTTATGATTTGATTTAAAGTAAATGGATGATAATAACTTTTTTTTTTTAGTTGATGGATTTTTGGCGATATTAAGCTAAAAATAAATGAGTAACTTTTTTATGTTTAAAGTGATATAGAAATAATTTTTTTATATAATTTTTATAAATAATTTTTGTATATTATTAAATGAATATTTATTTGATATTATGAATTTTAAATAAATAAATAAAATTTAATTATTTAAATAACATGAAAAA